CCCCAAAACCCCAAAACCCCAAAACCCCAAAACCCCTAATTTCAAGATTTTAATTGAAAGTTATAAGCTGTTACACAGAAGAGAGAGCTCCTAAAGAGTTATTTCTGTTCCTTGAATTATTCTTAACAATGCCTGGGTACCTATAAATCGTACTAGAGAGATACTTCAGTGTGTTATGAGCTAAATTCATGTAACATTCATTCGCTGTTGACTGTCCTTTGTTGCTCTTGAACTTGTCGTAAAACCTATGATGTTATACATAGAAATACTTCTTCATAGGAGGCTTGGAATTCATACATAAAGTGGATCCTGAGTTCCCTAATTCTAAAGAGTTCATAAGCTTGGTTCCTATAGGTCATGACGAGGTTTACTTCCTTGTAATACACTTTCTTTAGACTGATTTTGACTTGTATTACTCAAGTTGTTTAAGTTATTCTGAGTTTTTAATGCTAATATATCTGTTTTTAGACAAGAAGAATACCATTTTTCTTTGAATTTAGCCCTCCTCTTAGATATACATCCAAAGCTGTGTGGTTCTTTCCTAAAGGATGTTTGTAACCCTTTGTGGTGATATTCTCCTCCCAGTCCATTGTAAAATTGCTTAGGTTTGCATATCTGTTCCTGAACAACCTCTTGGTTCTTAGCCTCTCTTTTGTATGGCGAGTAATGGGAGCTCTTTCTTCCATCGCATCCTTATTAGATTTTAAGAAAGAAGAGAGATTTTCAGACTCATATCTTATTAATTGTATATTGCCATACTTTGGACCTCCTGTGATTGGGTCATTACTATATCTAGATTCCTTTCTTCTAGCAATTCTTTGAGGATACTGCATGCTTTTGGTTCCTGATTGAGCTCCTTCAATATCATCAACAGCCAAAATATTTCTAATTTTCTACAAAATTAGTTTTCCAGTTACTTTGTTAAAATTTGTAAATTTCACAGAAGCGCCAGGAATATCAGAGATATCAAGATCAAGGCTGGTATTCGACATTCTAGGGCGCTTTATGAACTTCCTCTTTGTAACTTCTCTGTACTGCTCTCCATATTCATAAGGCTTTTGGATTCTAATCTCACTATTTCTGATTTAAATCGCTAGTTTTGAGGCTAAGATCCATAGACTTGTTAACATTACTTCTAAAAATATAATTTAGCAAACTAACAAACCTGATTTTTCGTTTAGAGGTGGCTCCAGGGATATCACTGATCCTCAAATTCCTAGGCATTCCATTATTATATGCTGAGAATTTCTCTTTGACTCTTTGGAGTTCATCCTATCAAACTATCACCACAAAGTTTTACCTCAAAACTTTTTCGACTAATGGGCCTATTCGGTTTACTCTTCATAAACAAGATTTCCTTTTCTTGAGGGATTTTATTCATTAAATATATAGGATTTCTCATTTCTAAAACCTGTGTTAGTCAAGGTATGCTAGATCCTCAAATTTGAGGTTGATCCTTACCTGAGATCGGGTTGATCATAGGGGAAATAGTCTGTTTCATTTCAATTTTTATAAACTCAGTGGGGTTTTGGGGTTTTGGGGTTTTGGGGTTTTGGGG